TGGCATGCTAAAACCTTTTGAATATTTATTTATTCGTGAATATTTATCTCTGCAAGATAATAGCATAATGAATTATATTGGAATACCACAAGGATATACACTTCGTAAAAAAGAAACCATAAATATAGTGTTTAATTGCTTTTGATTCCAGGTATAGTATGGCAAGTTTGAATACATAGTAATGACTTTTGAATTGGGTAATTGTCCAATAGTCTTCTCCAGATTCATGAAAGAAATCTCTTCTGATATTTTATTTACCACATTTAGAAACTGCCCATCTTCTTCACAGAATGAGCCATGAAAGTGTACATGTAAGGCATAAAAACCTAACATCTATATATAAATATTATATTAGACAGTTAAAATGAGAATTAAATATTTAAAATTCAAAATTTCAAATGTTGAACTTCATATTTTTGACAAATATGTAGTTGTGTAGGATTTTAGAAGATCCATTTTTGCACAAGACTCGAATTAAGAGTGTTTTAGAGACAAGCTTTTTGTCTAAACTGAAAAATGAGTTGTTTAACTTTCCAATCTGTCTTTCCTGTACAGTGGAAAGTGGAAATCATGTAAAACATGCATAGGAGATGATAACATGCATCATATAACATCTGTACTTCTCTGCTCTGAATGTTTTATGGAAGATGTAATATATAGGATTTTAACTTTATGGAAAAATTGAATATCGTGTTGTATAACCGTTTAAATATTTTTTTTTGGGGGGGAGGGGAGCAGTTGAGCAAAATATTTTGAGTTGTATTCCAGCACATCTGAAAAGATCCTGTTGGAGAAGACTGAGTTAGAGTTTTAGCCTATAAGAAAGAAAACCCAACATTAACTTTTCAGTGTCAAGATGCATCAGATGTAACATGGAGGATACTGTACTTTCACCTTCTTGCGCGAACAGTGAATAAAAATATTAAAAAGTATACATAATTCTGCAGTAAATGCTTTCCTTCCAAACTATATATATCCTTATAGTTCATGTCTTGGTTGTTAAAAATTCACGTTATATATATACCATACTGATGTTTGAGTTACTGAGCCAAAAGCTTGAATCTATATATATTTATTTGAAAAGAGCTTACTGAACTCAGCAAGGCTTTCAAAGGACAATTATGCAAAAAGTGCTATGCTGATTAATTATTTTTAGTTACGAGCCATCTGTTTTCTGAAACTCCAATCTTTTACTTCATAGAGAATGCCTGCCCAAGTGTTGTCTTCTCAGAAACTTCCAAGAATTAAATAAGACAAAGAATTTATTAGAATCATAGTATGTTGGAAGGTACTTTAGAGATCACCTGTTCCAGGAATTCCATTTTGCCACATCTCTGCCTGCCTTTAAATAGCTCTAGCAAAAAATATTTTATTATTATTCCATGAGGCAGCCTATTCCATTATTAAATGGTGCTTACTGTTAGGAATTTTCTTCTGATGTTCAACCAGTATTGACTACCTTGTAACTTAAAAGCCCTTGGTTGTTTTTTTTTTTTTTTTTTTAAAAGCATTACTTGCAATAAAAGTGGAGTTTCAAGAAAGGAGACATTTCTCAGAGAGAGAAATCTATCTGTGGAATTATGCAGACAATACAAGAATTTGAAATACTTGTAAAAACACAATCCATCACATCTGGTTAGATCAACTAGATACATTTCAGTTTTTATATCATATATATATTTGACTCACTCAACAAACTATAATAAATGCAGTATCACATAAACCTGGACATGATCTTCCACACTTGTTCCTCCTCCTCCTAAACAATCCAAGCAATTTTGCCCCTCTTCAATCATTAGAACCCCCAGAATGGTTGGGGGCATGGAGGCACTAGATCTGCTCAATTGGATTAGATTGCTGCATAGATAAAAGCTTCTGACTGATTCCTTTTTCTGTAAATAATGGATAGTTGCTTCACAACGGTCAATTATATATTCTTCTTTCAAGAAGGAATATTGCATTTCTTCCATGAGACTCTTGGATGTGGGAGATTGTTTAAAGCTTTGCATCAGGTGTGTAGCAAGTTCTGATGGCTGAGGGGGAAAGCAGATGACAACCATATTTCATCCTAATATGTTTGTTGATAGGCAAAGACTTTGTATGGCTGGCTGGCTTACCTCAGGCACTTCATGTCCAGGATTTTTAGATTCAGTTTCAACTGATTTTAGTTCTTTCTCCTTGGCTCTGCCAATATAATGTGGGGCATCCAGAACTGAATCTGACATCAGTTATACTAATCTGTAAAACTTAATGATACATTCTCAGTATGTGGTGGTACTACTTTGAGTAGAATCAGGCCCAAATTGTCACTTTCTTATTAATGTAACAGTATCTTCTGGGATAGCCGATGGTGTTGCTTAAAATCTACAAATCTGTCAGATTTGTGTCCCCTTGCATCCATGGGGCCCTTGGAGTGACTGGTTTGGATACCAGGACTGTGACAAAGTGCTTCTATCTAGTCCATTTGTCCCTAAGGTAGTTGAAATTTGTCAAACTGGGAAATTAATGTTCTGTTTTCAAAGGTTCTGACCACTTCTGATTAGGTTGGAAAAAGTCAGAGTAGTTGAAAATCTCATTTTTAAAAATGACTGAGAATCTCCTTTTAAAATATGTACATGCTTTTGAAGGCAGTAGTAAGATGAAATCATATGTAAAACTCACTGTACCCAGGGTTTCAATTTTTTCTGATCTATTATTTGAAAAGCAGGGAGAAGAGGGATATGTTGCTATGGGAACCAGGACATCTTGGTTTGATACAGCATATTATGAAAAGATACCTAGAATGAAATTAAATCGTGTATGTGTATATGCTGCATTGTTCAACAAAACCATATTTTGTACAAGATTTTGTTTACTATTCTCAACTCTGACAGGAGGGAGGGAAGGAAAGGAAGGAAGGAAAGAAGTTGAATATTTGAGTCCACATTATTACTCTATTACAACAGGCTTCTAGGTTTTTTAAGCAAAAGTTTTTGGCTAAATAGATTGTATGCATAAAGATCTTTGTTGACGTGTAGATGCAAAATGCTAACTACAGTATATTGGTTTTATAATTTTGTTTTGAAGATTTTCTTAATATTGCCAATTAGCAAAATATGTGACAATAAATAATAAATATCCTACCTTTTACAAAGAACATCCAAAATGTTTTCCAGTATAGGTTCAGGCTAGGAATTTTAAGATTAAAACCCTTTGTTGTTTGGTGAATAGTGCATTTCAGGAACTGGATTAGGTACAGATTGCAACTGGTTCTTCTGGTCCTTTCAGTAGCATTACTACCATGGATTACTGTATCTTTCTGAGGCACTGAGCCAGTAGGGGATTTTGCTAAAGTAGCTTGGAAAAAGTACTTGTGTCCTTTATTCTACTGTAATCTTATCTGGCTGAGTAAACACAGAAGAGCCTGCTGGAGGACTCTGGCTAAGTTTTAAGGCCGTGGCCTCATCAAATCTCTATTTTCTCATTATCCCTTTTTAAACATCTTAAATGAAACCATTAGACAGTCTGGGCATGGCTTCCTTTATGGTGATAATACTGTGGCTTCCACCCCTTTTGGGAAGCCATGCTAAACTATATCTCATTTTCTAAAATGGTTAACTTCCTCAATTGATGGTAGGAACATTAGTGTAATGCATTCAAAATATTCCATGATATTCTACTTTGTAAACTAGCGAAAAGTGGTTGGTTGGCAAGAAAATTAAATGGATATACAGCTGGTTTGACAATATTCAGTATACTCATTAAGTTTCTCATCAAACCAACAGGAAATGTCAAGTGGGTGGTGGACAAAAAAGCAGCGGGAATAGGAGCAAGTTCCGATTTCCTGATGGCTTGCCCATTGAGTTTCCTTGTGGGAAGCTGGTAGGGAGCCTCAGAAATCCTTCCTTCCTTCTTCATTCTTAATAAAGGATTTATTAGACCCAGCCCAAGAACATAAAACAATCCAGCTAAAGCCCATTTCTTTATTTGTTCACACCAAATGGACAGATCTTGCCAGACTGAACCCAAGTTACTACTCTTACCCTAATGGATATACCCTGAGAGATTCTAGGAGTGGCTATCTCTTGATTCCTATCCAGTTGTGGGGTGTGTTGTCTCCTGTTTTGCCCCTTTCCTTGGAATGAACTCCCTCTTGGGAAACTGCCCCTCACTGTAGCCCACCACACCATCACCTCCTTTGTAGGCACAGTCCATCACAGGGTATCACCAATACCTACTCTCAGCAATGGATTTACATTACAGAAAAGCTGTGAATACTTTTTGAGATATTGAAAGCAGAAGCTACATTTGTGTTTGCTTGCACCCAAAGCACAACACTGATGAATGCAGATCCTCAAGTATTACTAATGTTGCTTGGCAAAACTACTTCAGGACAAATTATTGCATTTGCATCTTGTAAAACTTGTTTAGAATTATGATCAATTATGGCAAGATATATTCAGCAAAGATTGTTTTTCCACAATCAATCAATGTTATAATGCTATAGAATTTTTAATCTTTCCATTCACAAAGTGATTGTATTTATCTATGTTTAAAACATCTATGGAATCTATGGAATGGAAGGAGAATGAAAAAACAGAACTTTTTCTTACCTTTTGTAACTTCTGAAATAAGGTTTAAATGCAAACGTGTAACATTAGTTCCTAATATCAGGGATGAATAGTGTTGCTGTAACATAATAAGAGTCTTGAGCCAACCTTACAATACTTGTACCTACTATGCATCTCAGCTCCTAATAGTACAAGTTAATAGTTTAAATTGAAAAATAATTAAAATTAGATTTGGTACATTTTATATGTTTCATTCTATTTTTCCTATAATTATTTGAAATGAAAGTATTCCTTTTCATGCACAAGATCAATTTAACAAGGCAAGTTTTTCTTTTCCTAATTTTAGCTTATGAACAATTTCTATACAAGGGTGATTTTTCAAAGGTTTTTCCAGTCAAAATGAATCTTGTCTTCCATTTTCTCTGAAGTTCAGTCGGATGAATGTGCGATACATATCTTTATTTGATTTGAAGTTCAAACACTTTATACAATTTTAGAAATGACTTTTATTAAACTAGCATTTCATAATATTGTCTATACCGTGGCAATATTCAGGAAGAAAAAATCATTTGGATGACATTCAACATTTCAATATGAATAATCTAGAATGTTTTGCAATCTTGTTGAATGCATTCAACATCTGACATATATCATGCCAATGAGCACTGCATTACTATAAATTTTCTCCACGTGGAACTATTAATGCATTGAATTAAAAAAGACTATAAACATCCTAAATTGCATGAGCAATTAATGTACCCATTTCATGCTCTTAAAATCATTTTTTTCTAGAGATTATAGACCTGTTCAGTTACACGTTATTGAGGATAATTTATATACGGCAAAAACATATTAGAGCATTTAAACAGTACATAGATTATTTATATTTGCTGACTGAAACAGTGATTCATCTGAATTGTTTACATATCTGATACACACAAAGAAAACATTACTATTCCTGAGTTTTTATACAACATTTATTATTTCTATTTTCTTAATTGCTAACTAATGCACCTTTCCATCAAATGATGTTCAATAACCTTGACAACTTGTCTTGATAAAACTTGAATGGAGAGGGCCTGGTAATTTATAGTTCTAGTGAAAAGATCAATTACATTTATAACACATAAATTTTATATATATATATATACAACGATGTAGAATAAGATCACAATTCCAAAGTCTCTTTGAAAAGTTCTAATATTTATAATTTGTATATTAGAGGTTTCAATCTCAGTTCAGTTCTTGATTATGGTCACTGACCAATATGTGTTTCAATTCACTTTCCATAGATAAAATGCCTGCCATTCTCTTATTTCACAGAAAAAAAAGATAAAAACAGCAACTTGAAAAATTGGGGGAATGTATGTTGCTAAACAGAAGGTATCTTATAAGAATTCATTCCTTGATTTGATAGCTACAGTCTACGTGTTTCTAATTCTACTTTATCTTCCGTCTGTAATGATTCAGATTCACTTTGCGCAACAGGTGGTCGCAGTATGATTTCTGGGCCTCCTCCATAGATTGACTTTAGAAAATTCCATGTTTCTTCGGAAATCTGTCCAGAATCAGCTCCTAAAAGACACACATATTTCGATAAAGTTCACCTGACATTTTAAAAGATTAATTCTGGAAAGCACTTCAGTATTTATAAATACATAATATAAAAAGCTCAAGTTTAATATTATCTGGAACAGTCTGTAACTGTTTGCTGTGATACAAATGATACAGCTCAACCTATTATCTACCGTTTGATGTTGTTTTGTGTTTGTGAGTCATTATATAAAGGGAACCTATAGCGAATCTTGAAGTGAGATAATTCTCTGACAAATTTTACATATTAAAATACCTGTTCACACATTTTCAAATTTTAATTTTTGCACCACAAAGGTAGAAGTGTCCATATTTTTAAACAAAAAAAAGTATGTTCAGAAAAGCATTATAGCGACAGATGATAAAGCTATTTCTCTACAAGTCATGTTGAACTGCATATAGACTTTTAGAGACAAATTCAGAGTTCCTTTTTAAGAGCAATGACAAGTGTCAAATACAGATTTCAAGTACTGCTCCTATTTAGTAGTTAATTCAACTAGATTATAATCTAACCTGTTGACACAGCAGTATTTAAAGAAATTTTAATTAAGACTTGGATTATTTTTTTTTCTGCTTGTGTATGTAAATGCATAATATTGGTATTTGTTGTTTAATTACAAAAATCAATAAAAATTTTATTAAAAATTTTTTTAATTATAGCTGAAGGCTAGAGAATAATGTAAGTAATTTCTTCTTTTCTCTACATTATGTGAAGATGTGGATTATAGTGAATTTGTACGAGAGGCTAACTGGAGAGCCAATGAATTCAATCAATCAATCAGAATAGAGCCGGAAGGGACCCTGGAGGTCTTCTAGTGCAGGGGTCCCCAAAATGGCCACCAAGCCACGTGAAGGGATGGTGCTTGCACTCGCCCCCCCTACACTCAGCTAGTGCCGCCGTGAGCATCCCACCGGCGCTAACACCACCCCGCCCCGAGTGTCCCACCAGCACTAGTGCCACCCGGTGTCCCACCAGCGCTAGCACCGTCCCGAGCATCTCGCCGGCACTAGCGCTGCCCCACCCCAGAATGTCCCAACGGCATTAGTGCCGCCCATAGCGTTCCGACAGTGCTAGCGCCGCCCCATTTGCAACACGCAGCCGTTCGCACATGTGCTCGTGTGGCCGTTTGCATGTGCGCATGCGTTCGAGCGTGGCCCATTTATAGGTACATGGGGGTCATTTTTGCATGCGCACGTGGCCCATTTGCAAGTGCGCACGTAGCAGTGCCTGCCTCCCTTTACGGGCTGCCAAACCAAAAAGGTTGGAGACCTTTGTTCTAGTGCAACTCCCTGTTCAAGCAGAAGACCCTATACCATTTCAGACAAGTGGCTGTCCAGTCTTTTCTTAAAAACCTCCAGTGATGAAGTACCCACAACTTCTGAAGGCAAGCTATTCCATTGGTTAATTGTTCTCACTGTTAGGAAATTTCTCCTTAATTCCAGGTTGCTTTCTCCTTGATTAGTTTCTATCCATTGTTTCTTGCTTTGCCTTCTGGTGCTTTGGAAAATAAATTGACCCCCTCTTCTTTGTTTTTTTATTTTTTGTTTGAATTCCTCATTCCTCTATATTCTGTACTTTTAAGAATAGAAGGGGATTATTTGTTTATGGAATGGTTAATTCCATAGGAAAAATGTACAGATCATACACAAAATGATCATAAATGAACATGACCACTGGTAAATTTGCATGCAGAGAACTATCTGTGTATTCATACCTTGTTTCAGAACAAGCAAACCACATTTACCGACACCAATTTTGGTATTGTCAATAGGACCTGGAGGATCTAATGAAATAAAAAGTATGTTACAATGTAAGATAATAATACTATTTAAACAAACAAAAGCCTCAAAGAAAATCTCTCTCATATTTTATAAATTATTTAAAAACTCCACATAATAAAATGTAGCAAAATACACATTTCAATCATGGGTGTATAATTTGAAACAGATGCATACAAGTTTAAAAAATGTTGTTTGTAACTGAAAGAAATCCACCTACTAAGCCCTTTATGAAGTCTCCCTAAACTACAGATCCAAACTGAACTATTTATCTATATGCATAGTTGCCATGTACTCGTATTAGGTCCATTTTCTATTTTATTTAACTTGTGCAGAATTCATTACACTGCCCTGTGATTTTACTGTATTTACTACCTAATTAAAACTATGTGATCTTTATACAGCATTTGCTTGCAGTCTCTTTGAATTACAAAAGTACTCACCACTGTCCTTGCCCTTCACAAATGCTTCCCATTCTCTGAACCATTGCATACTGATGCAATAGAATATAGATGGAGATTCCTCCTCTTGGAATGCTCTATTCAACTGAGAGACAGAGAAAAAAATTCTAAAAGCAGATGTTAACAACCCTAACATAGCTGTCTCAGATTCACAGTTACTGTCCTCAAAACTCTCCAAAATTACAAATAGTAAATGCATATTCAAAATTAAATGCTTAAAAAGTGTTGGATCAATGTTCCTATTGTGATTTAGAAAAAGAAAAGTTATTGAGATGAATAAAAGAAAACCATATCTCTACATAGTGCCTGCTAATGTATCTATATACTTCTAAACCTCATCGTTCCTGTAACCTTCAACTGAGTGAAACGGTGCATCGTAAGGCAACAAATTTTGAACCAAGGTACCTCAAATGGGCTAGCTTACAGAAAGCATCCAAAATCCAGAGGCTACGACATCCATGGAATAGAAATTTTGCAAATTTTATGAAATATGTTATGACATAACAATCATAAAACAGTTTATGGCATATACAAAATGTCATAAAACATTTCCCTTGTTGATGTTTAGCTCTGGTATACAGCTCAACATGGGCTATTTTTTAGGCAGATAAATTTCTGAAGGTATCTCAACTTTTCCAATGAAGGCAGTACATTAGGAGCTCTGTCACTGTTGAAAGCATTGAGGAACCTAGTAAGGAGATATTTCTGGAAGGACGGTCCAGCTAATCAAGGGTTGCCAATTACACTACAAAACCCCTATGTGTAATCTTTAACTGGGTGAAACAGTGCATCATAGAGCAACGGTTTTTGAATCAAAGTATCTCAAATGGCCTAACCTAAGGGATGTGTCCAAAATCTGGAACTGAAGTTTAACAAATTTTGAAAAACATTTTATGACATAAAAATTACCATAAAACATTTTATGATATAATACATTTCCTGTGGTCAATTCCTGATGTTTGACTGTGCTATACAATTCTACATGGGCTACTTTCAAGGCAGATGCTTCCATGAATATCTGCTGAATTTTAAAGAAGGAAATAATCTCTGAAACAATGACTCAATGGTCAAGGATTGTCTAGTTACCATTAAAACTTAGGGTAGTGGTGGCGAACCTGTGGCACGCAGAGCCCTCTCTGTGGGCACATGCGCCGTCGGCCCAATCCTAGGCCTTTAGCTGGGTTTTATAAAACCTTTTCGCTTTAGGCCTCCGCCGCCATGTGCAAAAAAAAAAGGTTCAATCAATTTTAACTTCTTGCGGGGAAAAAAAAGATCTCGCAAAGTTGGAATTGATTGATTGACATTTTTAGTTCCCCCCAGTCTGCCATTACCACCACAGCCACGCCCACCCAATGGGCCACACCCACCCAATGGGCCACTCCCACCCGGCACCCGACAATACATAAGTGGGTTTTGGGTTGCAGTTTGGGCACTCAGTCTCTAAAAGGTTCGCCATCACTGACTTAGGGTATACAATGTTGCTTAACAGTTCACCAACTCTTTAAATTTCTGCATAAATATGACCTAAAATCTGTTCTCCATACAAGTGCTAAAATTAGATAAAGAAAAATACTGAAAATTCAAAAGGGTTCACAAACTTTTAAGCACCATTGTATAAGCTCTAATAATATTATACTTAAAAATGTATTATTGAAAACAAATGGATTATATACATCTTTAAAAAATCTTCAGCTCCTGAAATTTTCATACTGTTGCTTTTACATATCGTGTGTAATGCTTCCTCATATAATAACTATTTCCTTTTCAATTAGAAGCTGTTCTTCACAGATTGTAAATCAAATATTCTATGATTTTTTCTCAGTTCTGAAATTCTATTATGACATGCCAAAATGGGATGCTAAGAAAATATGAAACTTTACATTTTTATTATCAAGAGTAATTATGAATCATTTTGAATAATTTCAAAATATTAAGCTTGGTTTGGATGTTCACTTTCTATTTGCAATGGAACTTTGTCCTTTGATGGGTCCTACTAGTGAAAGAACTGGGGTAGAATATGTATTTTATTTTCCCTTTTCAAGTCCATATCTCACTGCATTGTTTTGAAGAAGCACTCAAACTGTTTGGGGACAAAGAAAATGTATGAAATTAATAAAAATGTTGTTTATGTAGCTCACAATGTATCAAGATAAAAGCTATTAATTTAAATATTTGTAACTCAAACAAATATAATTTAACAAGATAGAAAAAACATATTTACCCGAATAAACATTTCCAGTTCTGTCTTCCGTCTTTTTTCTATTTTTTCTGTTTCCATTTGACATGTATAACATACATACAGATGATTAACTGCTGGTCCTCCACCATACCTGTAATAATAAATTATTAAATAAATCCCCATATTCTTTAGGTTTTATAGAATCAAACACTATACTTAGGAAACTCGTTTTTTGTTCATATTTTTTTAATTTTAGTAAAAATAAGCTACACATCTCTGAATTAGTTGTGCACGGTATATCTATTATTCCCAAACTAGTTCTATCAAAATGTGAATGTCCTTTTTTACACCTAACTTAGAAATAAGGGTGGTTCTACTGTTCACTTTTGTCCAGATCATGTACACAACAATATTGCTTATTTTTATTCTATTTTCTAATACATTTTTCATTGTACTGTTTCTTTGTGGCTTCAGAATCTTTGATTTGTTATACATATTTTGACCAAAAAAGTTTGAAACATAATAAATTATTTTATAGTAGTTTTTGTCCTACTTTGCTAATATACTATTTTTTTAAAAAAAAGAAAATCTCCAAATGCAATTAAGTGATGCATTTTAAAGAAAACCTAGCCATTCAACGATAGATCAAAGCTTAAATTAAACTACAGTGAAATAAATCTAAACACTTACTGGGGATAGAAATGTTATTCTATTGAAAACAGCAACACTAAACTAATGCAACTATAATACCTAATCACATCATTCTATTCACAGATTGCTGTTTGAACTGTCAGATGTCTTTGTATTTAGAAACAAAGTGAAATTAATTGGTTTTTTTCTTTCCCTAGTCCTGAATCATCCTTGTCTCATGCCCATCCACACACTATCTGATGGGTAGTAGAGGAGGATGCATTCAAGAGAATAAATGAAAACAGTAAATCTGCCTTCTGTTTATAGATGCTTTGCTGGATTAAAGAGGCTTAGAAAGTGCCAGTCCACCAAAGGATTCAGTATAATGTTCTATAGTACACTATATGCAGATTTTACAATTACCATCTCTTTGATAATGTTCAGGCATCAAATGTAATCTGTTTCACGATTAAAAGTTTACCTGCTGTACAAATTATCCCATATGTTCTGAGGAAGCATTACAACCAGATCTTCTATAAAAGAAGCTTTGTATGGAGGAACTCCTATGGAAAAATAGTTTTAAAAAATTAAATATGATTTACTTAAAGGGGAGTAGAAACCTTCAAGTAATACAGTTTGTCAGCAGCAGCAAAAGTATAAAACATCTTTGAGTGAAAGAAACAACCTCCCACTGTTTTATATTAAAGCTAATATATTAGCTACCGTGTCTTTCTAAAGATGAATATTGGGACGTCCGGTCCTGCACTGTAGTGACTGCTCGCGAGCTTGCGGACCGCCGCATCCCCACGGCTAATTTTTGTCCTGCCTGGAGACCCTAATGGGTCCAAGCCGCCCCAGAGAGCCGGTGAAGAAAGAAGGGTGCCCTGGCGACTCTGGAATGACGGCCGTCGTTCCCTTCGTCTTGGGCAAAGCCTTCTAACCCGACAAGAGAAAGGCTGTATTTCACCGATCAGCCCAAGCTACTTGCAACCAAAGTCCAAAAGAACTAACCAGCACAACAGTAAACAGCGTGCTTGAAACTGGGTGAGGAATCTGATTTTTCCTTTTCTATTCTACACTTAATATCCTGGAAAAGATCCCCAAGATGCAAAATACCTCCGAAAGTGAAGGAGGGATACTTCCACCCCACCCTTATACTAACGGAAGCAGCGAATTAAAATTTCCATGGAGGATCAAAATATATGGTAGTGAAATAAATTTATAAACTTGAAAGCTAAAAATTAACTTTGGACAAGTTTAAAATTGTTGAATGGTTAAGACTCTCATTTTAAAGACCATTGTTCATATTGAAAACTAAATAGATGCTGACACCTAGTGGTGGATGAAGATTATTACAGATGATTTCCATAGAGAACTTGCCAAAACCTGGGAAAAGCTAATCTGTGTTTGTGACCTTCAAAGCTTTAATAACAAAGAACAGCTGTGACAAAAAAGACAACAATCTGAGCTGCAGACAAAAAGAGAATTATAAATTTTAGAAAAAAAAAAATCTTTTTTGAACTCTTTGGATTACAAATATCTATTTAACCGGGACTCTAAAGCTATTTGCAGATAAGAAGGAAAACTTCAGCTTTTGGCCATCATGAATCAGAGACATGTAGATAGAATACACCAAGAAAACATAAATACCTCTCAGGAGGAGATATATAGTATACTGCAATTAATTCAAATAACACTGAGTTCAGATCACAAAGAAATCCAAAATAAATTTGAAAATATAAATCAATCTATTTCTAAGTTAACTCTACAACAAAAAAACTTCCAGGAAACAACAACAGAGAAGGAGCAGACAAAACAAATAAGTGGACATAAAATTGAAAATAGAGACTCAAAGACGGAACTTAACAAAGCAAGAAAACATGATTTAATCCTAGTGGGGAATTTTTTTTTACAAGAAATGGAAAAAAACAACTCATCCCTTAATACTACAAAATAAATCTGAGGACAAAAAAACGGATTGGATAAAATGGAATGTAGAGATTTTGAAAACATCAGAGAGAAAGGAAGTGATAAGAGAAGCAAAGAAGGAGAAAAAGAAAAAGATTTTCAAGATTCATGGAAAGGCAAAAGCCTCATAAAGATACTCTATTCGATTTACTTCTTATACCTACAGCAACAGTCATGAATATATGGGGAAAAATTTTGATTCAGCAAAACACATTGATCAAGAAAGATACTGGTCAAAGGAAAAAGATTAAAGTGAAAATTAAGAATATAGATGATGGGATCTACCAGAGGGAATATATAAAAAAGAAACATTTGTTTGAATATGGTTAAAGAAATAGAAAAGATTCTGAATACATATGTCATTCTAAGAGGGATGAATTCCTTAAATAATACTGTATGCTCCCCCCCCCTTTTTATTTTATTTCTTGATATAAGTAATATAATACTGTTGAAATGGCTTAGATGAAGGAATTTTTTTAGATAATTAAATGTGTTTGAATTTAGGGAAATTATAATGTATAAAAAAGAAAAAAATGTTTTGAATAACAGCTAAAGGATTAGGTGACTAGATATATTAAATGGAATATTTAAAGATTAAATATATTTTTAATTATGGTTAAAAAGAATAAGAAATTTTGGGAATGAATATATATTAGCTTAGTAGGAATATATATTTTAAGTAGTATTTTACTTTTTATGTTTCTTTACTCTTGCTCTCTTTTCCTTTTCTTTACTGTTTTTACCTATTCTTTAAGAAATGTAAAAGTGTTGAGATGGTTTATATGGGAAAAATGGATTTAAATCTTTAAATGTAATTAATTGTTGAGAAAATCTTAACCAGCAAGAATACTTTGAACTTTATGGGAGAAACAAATCTAAATAAGGATTGTAACAGGATATAAGATGAGGCAACCAGAATGATTATATAGAAAAGAAATATTATATTAATGTGATCATTATTTCTAGGAATATTGGGAAAAATCATATATGTAATTTATCAAAATAATAAGAACTGTATTAATTCAAGGTTTGCAAAGAAGACATTTTAGGGAAAAGGGGAAATCAACTAAATGTACTATGTGGATTATGGATTATAGAAACCAATTGTTAATGATTTTAATTTACAAATGTAAACCCAGCAAGTACACTGTTTACCAACTATTAAGTGATTTATATTTTTAAAAATCAATAAAATATATGCAAAAAAAACAAATATTGGGATTTACGTTCTTCTAAATTTGTTAACTGTGGTTAAAAGATGGTACATAAAAACAATCAAAAGCAAAACTATTTCATGAACATTTTTTGACAACAATTTAAGTTAAAAATAGAGAACGCCAAATTTGTGACTGAAAATCAAAGCCTTATTTCCATCAATCAATAAAAAGCAAATTCTACTTTTACCCTGACAATAAATTTAATGATTCTGAATGTAGGCATCCTTGCAGTTTGTTTTGTATAACTGACCAAAATTATTAATTAAATTTCTAAATTTTGTTAATATTGCATATCACATTGTGGAATTCAAGAAAAATGACAATCTTTACTAACAAAGGACCAAATTAAGCTGACTGATAATCTTGAATTTCTAATTTAAATTGATCTTTCTGAAGGTTGGGATAATTTTGTTTCTAAACAATTAAAGTAAATTCTTAATGTAAGAATTATTAAAAAGCAAAATGCATCTTTTCCCACCCCATTTTACTATGCAGTCAAATTTATAATTCTGAGTTTCTATCCCACAGATAGATGCAATCTAATTTATCTTACTACAGAATTAAACTGTAACCTAACAAGTCACAAGTAGTAATTAAGGACATATATATTTTTTACTTTCAACTAGTAAGTTATCCAAAGTTTATGTCTGTCATTCTAATAGTGACACAGTTAGCTTTACATTTGAAGAAATGGATTCCACATAAGAAAAAATCAGGCTGTCATCTTCTGGATAATCAAAAAAACAAATTGACTACAGAGTGATATTCTCATTTAACAGAATAAAAATTCCAATTAAAAGATGTAAGGACAAAAATACACAGGATGGCAAAAATAATGGTCAAAACCTCAAGCTACAGAAAGCAGTAGGATTTATTGTTCCAGATAATGAAAAGTTATCTTCATAGGAGAATAGTTTTATATGATTGCAGTCTCACCTCCATGTATGCAGAGAAAATCATTATTTGAAATAGGTCCTGGTTCAGCAAAAGTTCTAAATTTATTCAGCCATAAACGTGAAATATAAAATTGAAGGAGGCTTGGTTCCATAACATTAAGGCTTGACACTCTCTCTCTCTCTTTTTTAGCTTCTTCGTTACTTTTTCTTTTGAAAAGACACAATATTAACATTAGTTAATATGTATGCTGTTTTGAAATGAATACTGTTAACAACAAGTAATCTCTACATGTTGATGATTAAAAGGACCTCATCCAAGTTTGAGTTGAAATAAACCAAGAATCCTTTTTAGATCTGTATTACCGTACTTTGTTTGACTAAAAATATTAACTTTAAGACAGCTAAAGTCAATATTGGATACTATGTGTTAATTTTCAATTTATAAAAGCAAAGGTACTTCAAATCTTGATATATTCCAAATATCTGAGTTAAGCTGAACTCTTAAGAACCAGAGAAAAACATATTAAAACAGATTTGCAGTACTGTCTCCCTTCTTTTTCTTCCTGTGAGAGCATCGACTAAGCAAAACTCTACTCAAATGATGCTTTCGCTGACAATGACAACCTCTGCATCTAATCACTGTTGTGTAACTTCACACTTGCTTTCTCACCTGTAGAAGAGAACATAAGCTTCTGAATTTTGGACAGTTGATTCTGTTACTTCTGTGACACTTTGATCATCAAACTCATACCATCGATTATTTAAATTATTTCGACAATAAGCTATATAATGCCCATCTAAATTAAAGAACAAATTAAGAGAATTTTTTGTTTTAAAATTGCAGGAAAAGCAGATTGGTACAGATTAATGTAATAAAATTTTTACATCAGTTGCATAAAATGTAACGTACCGTACGCATAGCCTATGAAAATACTGATTATGTATACTCACTGATTGCAGTTCCATGGTGGCAGATGACAGACAAAAGGTCATATACTGCTATTTGAGCAGGACTATCTTTAGTAAGAAAAGGTTGAAGATCAAGTCCTTCCAAAGGAAAGAATACATGAGTTCCAATTTTTGTGGAAAACATAAGATCGTGTCTGAATCTTTTGAGATGAATACATAAAATCTGCGAAAAACAATTGACAGACTTATTTGATGTTTATCTTTTATTTTAATAGTTAAGCAAGATATTCCTTATTAAACGGCTAATGACTTTTTTATTTCCTCATAGAAAATGAAATTACCACAGAAGCCTTTATTTAATCTCATTATTCTGTAGCACTCTGTAGTTTCTTTAGGGAAGGGGGTAATGAAACCGAATGTCTAAGTCCTTTGTGCAACCCCCAATTTTCCTCCTTTGCTCCCAGTATTTAGTAGTGGGTTGCTTTTACTGCTCCATTTGAAAGTGCTTTATGACCTCAAAATTACATCATGGTTATAATATGATACAGCTATCAATCATCTATATTTGTTCCTCAAACTCCTTGGCAGATATTCTTCATTAGTATTTCTTTTAAGATTATTGATTTGGTTGGGATCCCTGACATGTTACCCAGCACTAATGCAACTTGTGATCTGAAAAATGTTGCGAACAACATGGCAATAACAATTATTATTATGCTTGGCACTTTTCTACACAAACATTGCTAAAGCAAAACTACACTGACATGACATGAAACTTATGTATGTACTGCATATTTTGTTAATGTGTATGGATGTGGGAAGTTCAAATATATCATTTACAAAACAATATTGATGTTTATATTTCCTTAGGAAAAGATATGTTTTAAAAAACCCCAAAATAATTCTAATCTTCTAGAAAACTTTCAAATTGTGGAATTTGTCCAAAAAGTATCACACTGATCCTAAATGATTCTAATACAATTCTTTGTACTCCAAGCTATCAGTAATATTTTATCCTGAATTATTTTAGTTATTAGGTAATTGTCAAGAGCTTGGCAATAATTCAGCTGACCTTTGCTGATCTTAGAAGCTAAGCAGGGTCAACCCTAATTAGTATTAAGATGGGGGACAGCCTGGCAATGGCTAACCACACTTCCAAGAAAATTACATGAATGCAATAGCCAGGAAACAAATTTGACTAGTCTTTAATTCTCAACATTGAACGTCTCTTAAGCACATTAATAATTACATCAGAAGCAAGAAACATTTTCTTATATTTTTAGGTAAGCACAAAAATGTACATTTTTCTATGTTTAATACATGACGATACACATGTTAAAAGCAATCATAGAATTTTAGGATTATTCTCAGTCACCTCAAATACAGCACTTTTCAGTGCAGGCCAAGTTCAAATATCCAAATGAATGACATTAAATTTAAACATGTTAAGTGAACAGCTTAAAATACACTAGTCCTAACTATCTAAAACTGTTCTATAGAATGTAACAATTGGTCCTCAAGACTGATAGAGCTTCAGGTGACTGTTTTGTAAATAACAGTCAGCTGCAGCCTTCCCGTTACCAATGAATCATCTTTCTAGTGCACCCCCTAAGGTTATGAGAAAAAGACTTAGGAAATCTTAGCCATAGCATCACCTGAGGTATAAATGTAAAATACTACACTCTTTCATGAATCTTGCTAACCACTAAAATTGTGGCTGAAAAAAACAACTTTTCGTTGAAGCAGTTACACAGTCTGACAAAATGTAATTCAGGATAGAGACCATAACAACATACAGAAGAAATTGATTTATTTTGACTGTTATCTGCTAAAGTGTTAAAAGATTCATCCTGGAAAATGAAGAAATAGAACTGAATACAAATCATGTTACATGAAGTAATTTGTTGTTATGTTCACACTGTTTATTATAAAAAGGAGGGGAAAAGAACATTTTTATCCAGTAAAGCAAAGCAAAGGACATTACCTCAGGGAAGTGTTGAACTTTGCAGAATTTTACTCCATTTCTTAACCTGAGATAAAGTTCACATTTAATAACATTGTAAAAAATATCGACCACAAAGTTAAAAAAATTCTAATATGCATCTTTACTATTTTAGAAATGCTGACTAGAGAAAAATGGAATGGAATTAGAAATCTACACTTTTTCCCACAGATTTCACAACGATATATAAAATAAACATGATAACTTACTATATAAAAAAATCCAACATATACATTGGTAAAGTACTAAACTCAATAATAAGAATAATAATTGGGTGTAATTCCAAAACATCAGGAGCATCACTTTGACACCAGTCAATTGCAAAAGGCAGCTTTACTTGGAACAGCTTACATTCTACAACGATATCTTTAATATTATTAAATAACATCTGCCTATCCCAGGTCCTTGGGAAGGGCTTAATAGGTGGAGAAAAATACCAAATCCAATCTAAGCATCTGGCTGACTGTGCGACCAACTATAACCTATATCAGTGATGGCGAACCTTTTAGAGACCCAGTGTTCAAACTGCAACCCCAAACCCACTTCTTTATCACCGGGTGCCGGTGGCCGTGGTGGTCATGGCAGACTGGGTGGGCAGGGCCAGGGCAGCAGGGGCCAGTCCCTCACCATCTCTGGGACATGGCACACGTGCCCACAGAGAGGGCTCGGAGTGCCGCCTCTGGCACGCGTGCCATAGGTTCGCCACCACTGACCTATATTAATGACAATGAAATGCCTTTTCTTTCCAACTATTTATTTATTTCCTGCCTTTACAAATAACTGGAGGTGGCAAATATATCCAACACACCTTCCCCCTCCTGTTTTCCCCACAACAACCCTGTGAGATGGGTTGGGCTGAGTGTGTGTGGCAGGCCCAAGGTCACCCAGCTGGCTTTCATGGCCAAAAAGCAGCACTTGAATTCAGTCTCCTGCTTTCTATCCCAGCTGCTAAACCACTAGACCAAACTGGTTCTAATGGAGAATATATGGCTGTAGCTCTGAATTACAAGTTTTAACTCAGAATATAAAGTGGTTTTTTTAGTGTACGTGTTAAGATTTTACTGAATCCTGACTTATTAAGAACAAGTAAGTATGCAGTACCACTGTTGTCATTTGATATCTTTTCAAGGTTGGCCAGGCAAGGAAACAGACTCCTCAAAGACTACTGGACCTCTATTGTGACAGAGTCTAATAACAGACTCTTGAAAGCCTTACAAAATTTCTGTCACCTTCCCCTCTTACACCCTAAAGAATCAGTCAAGGCAATCCTAAGTTTCTTTCTTACTGCCTCTTCCTTTGAAAAGCCAACCTGGCTTTTAAATAATTGTGCTTGTATTCAATTTTTTAAAGTTATTTCTGTACTACTATGCAGTGGCCCAGATAGAACTGGTATCCAGTTCTCATTCATTCAGCAGGTGGCAGCTGTAACCAGGAGCATCTTTGCACAAAGCTTTCTTGTATGCCAATTGTGTTCCTGCCTTGGTCAAGAGGTCCTCACAATCACTCATGAGGCTACTTTTGTGGACTACTCAAGTTACAACTGGTCTAGAATGTAGCCATGCAACTATAGGCACTTATTGTTTTGCTTACATAGCTCTGGTAGGCTTCGCTTTGTAGGTTATTTGTTTAGCTCTTCATAGTTTAGTCTAGTTACCTAAAGGACTGTCTTTCTTCTGTTGTTTCCACTTGACCAGTTAGATCTAAGTGAGTTGATAAGTCCCAGTTGTAAACCAGGGCCTAGGAAACACACCTTCTCAATAGCTGGGTTGTCCTGCAGAACAGCATTCCCCCTAAGTTTCGCATGGCTGCACCCTATTTGGGCTTTCGCAAAGTTGTCAAAACCTGACTCTTCTGACAGGCCCTGAGGCAGGACACAGCAATCAGCTCCCTAGTGGTGGCTGGCTGGGAAAATGTTTGTTTAGTTATTCTTCATTGTTGCATATCTTGCATTTACTGCTGATCCTGCTCTTTTTTAATTTACTTATTATTTTTTGCTTAATAGAAAATAATCTTAGCAGTTAGTTCATATCATGTTGAGGCAGCATACGAGTGGTAAAATATAAAATAAAACAGTAACTGCTAATGTTCAAGCAAGTGGCAAATCTAAATGATTCCTATGCTTAGTCTAAATGATTATATGCATAACTCAGATTAGGCTCTGGCATTTGGCATGAAACCATTCCTGTTTGCTAGAGGCAAATTAATCTTAAGTATCTTTTTATTAGGTTTCAAGGGTGTTTAGGCAGTTTTTCAAGAAAACTTAAGAAGACAATCAATACTTAAAACTATTTTTAAACAAACATTAAATCAGAATGGTTCATACAAAAGGCCTGTTCTTGGCCAACTGAACTGTGCCTGTGTACATTTCATACATACATTACATCATGTTCCTGGTTTCAATAGCTTTATTAATGAAAAAGGTAGAAAAGTATAGAAATTATATATATAAAATGTAGATCACTTACTTTTTACATTTTTCACAACTGTACATATTGTCACCTGCAGACATTGTAAAGAGGGAAGGATAACCATTATTTTAAAACTATAAAATACTTTTCCCCCTTCAACCCACACTAAACCTGTTCGATTTTGCAATACAATAAATTGATCCTAGCATGTTATAAAATACTTATCCTCATGAATTGGAAAATTGTTCTTAATTGAAAATCCAGACTGTGGTTTTAAAGTTATTCTTTTGCAATTATGTTTTCTGAATGTTTGTCCTTGAAAATATTTCTCAATTCAATTTCAACAATAACACTGTGGGGAAAACTCTAATATGCTTTCTGTTCTGTTAAATGTGAAATCCGATTCAAAACAATCAATCACACACAGTAGCTAAATTTGATGTTTGATAAAATATGAATCTCTTACCTTTCAATTCATCTCTGGCAAAAAAGGCAGCAAGACAATCTTGTAAGGTTACTGTTGGACCCCAAAACCAGCTAGGAACACAGGAGACAACAAACCTGAAATATCATCGATAGAAAAACAGCAATTGTTCTGCTGTTATAGCAGAAACATTAGTGCAGAAGAATTATTGGAGTAGTAGAAAGAAAACAACTAACCTTTTGAAATATTCCACAAAAAACGCAATCCAACCTTGAGGAGCATATGCTTCACCACAGGATCCTGCCTTGACAAGAGAGGTCTGATGATTTGCAGAATGCAGCTTAGCAAGATCTTCCTTACCTGGAATAGGTAAAGATAAATCCTGGAAAGTTTCCAGGGTAACTGAAACCTATGGAAAATAAACATAAAGGCTTATTTGTCAATATACATAATCAAATTCTATAATTACATTTGCTTCTTTTAAACTTCTCATAAAACAAAACATAGCAATGCTTATCTGCAATTATACCACTTGATGGGAACTGACATATATTTAAGTTCACTATAAAATTATGCATAAATATAAGTTACAGGTTCACTGTAAAGTATGGATAAATATAAATATGTACATAGATATTGATAACCATTAAAATATAAATAGTGCACAGGATAAAAAAATAAAGAACTATGAACAGGAAAGGGACTAGTCAGAATGTTTGGATAATCTAACTTGAATAATCCAAGAATTGTTTATATATATTATTTTTTAAAAAAAAATTCCACAGAGAAAGTGAGAAATTTTGCATAAGCACTGTAAAACGTACCCGATCACATGTGAGACACTGTACAGAACTTAAAATAGAACCATCAAATATATCTGATATAACACTTCGGTATTTTTTGTTTTTCTTCTTTTTAGAGGAAGACGCAGTTGGAACTAAAAAAGCAAGAAAGCATTACAAAATATTATTTGAACTGTCCAGGGCTAATTAACAGTAATTTCTACATGAATTTTGGGAAGGCAGGCAGCTGACATTGTTTTACTCATTCGTTATAATTCATGTCCATGTAATTATACCCTCTCACCCCAATGGGAATCAATCCACCCCACCGTGCCAGCAGAGAGGGCATGGCATGGGCTCAATCAGTGAGGGAATTCCAGTGGGAGGGGTCCAGGAGAAGAGACCTCTCTACTATGGCCGCTGCCCTTTGTAACATATCCTGAGGTGAGAACTGCACCGATCTTTCTGACCTTCCATAAGGGCCTGAAGTCCTAGTTCTGCCAGTGGGCCTGGGGCCCCAATGGGGGGAGTATCACTCTGGAAGTGATTAATAAATTGAGAGAAGGCCCTACCTCTGTACATGGTCTTTGTGATAATTTTTTAGCATATTTATTGTTGTATCTTATCTTTTTAATGTTTCTGATTTTAATGTTTGTAAGCTGCCAAGATTTGCCTCTGGATAAGATGGGTGGCATACATAAATCCAGTAAATAAATAAAAATAAATAAAATGTCTTCAACTTCAGGGCCAACTGGTCTCAACCATAATTCTGCACAAAAGATGGCAATAACCATAGACTGGGTTTACAAGCAATTTTCATCTGCAATCTGAATTGTCACAGCCAATCCAGTATCTCAGTTTTATACCACAATATTTATATCATTCTACCCCGTGCATGTATCAAAAAGATGATCTCATTTGCAATTCTTTGAGACGCTGCAAGTATATTCTAATAGACATGGAGGGATACAGTGAGAAGAAGTCTCAAAAGTAATGTCAGTGGAAACGCAGCTGGGTTTGGAGAAACAAACAGGCGACTAGTCCTCTATTAGTTGTTAAAATAGCACAAAATATTTGCAGAACTACTTTAGTATATATCTTGCCAAAGTAAGCTTTCGATGGCACTAATCTACCTTGATGTTGAAAAAGCTAAGCAAGACTCAACTAGTATTTGGAGACATTTAAAACAAAATAAAAAGAAAGCAATGGCAAATTATTTCTTTGTTGTAATCAAAGACATATACGTAGAATCTCACTTAAATGTTAGCTTTGGAACAGGAGATAAATTTACAAATGTACAAAATTATTTTTCAATTCAATGCAATAAATCAGAAAATAAAAAAAATTCAATGAGCTTTACTAGAAGTTTGAAAACCCCGCAAAATGAAAGACCGTGATATTATTGGAAAATAGCACTGTATTTAAACAGTGCTTTGACAAACCTAGTAAAATGATGCAACCCCCAAAGGGCAAGCAACAGATAAACAGAAGTTGCAGTTCTAATGCTTAATCCCTAGATAAAAATTGTCTTGCCTTCACTTACATTGTTGCGTTACTTTTATGTTGATTGGAAAAATGGCTGGCAATTACACAAAGTGGACAACTTCCCTTGAGTCAGCTGTAGACTACAAACCAATGTCTCTCAACTTTAAGATATGTGGACTTCAACTCCCAGAATTTTCATGCCAGCTGGGGAATTCTACGAGTTGAAACATCTTAAAATTTCAATTTTCCGCTCTTCAAAATGTATTCCAAACAACTGAAAATAGCCTAAACTCACATCACATACTTTGGTAGCAAAATGGCCAAATAAAAACAGATTTGGATTGTTTGGGGAGGCTGGTAGGACTAAGGATGGAAATGATGGAAACTCTTTTCATTCCCACTTTTTAATAAAATAAAAATGGATTCTGCTATGAAAAGTATGTGCATGGGCATTTGCATACATGTATGTATGTGTGTATTAGAATTAACTCTACAAGAGAAAAAGTTAACTATTTGTTTCCATGCATGAGCTACCTACATAAGTAAATTTATGAAATTTATCAAATCAATGAACAAATGCCCACATTTCCTATTTATGAACATATACTGTAATATACACTATATTCTAGCCTCTTGTACATCTCCCTCGTACAATGAAGGATTTTTTTTCTTTTTCTAACTCAAAAATTATACATTTGAGAGGATATACCTGGAGAAAGCTTTCACTATAAATGTCATGGTAATAGATGAACTATTAAGTGACTTATTAGAGAGACTAAGAATTGCAATAGTGGTGAATATCTGTAGCTCGGGTGTAGGATGAGGGTGAAGGTTCGTTCTCCGAGCTTGTGGGTTGGTTTCCGAACGTTTTGTTACCAGGCTAGGTAACATCTTCAGTGGTGTTTTTGACATACTACAGAATCATTCAGTGTTATCAGAATCACTTGAGTAAGGGCACAGTATGGCACACTAGTAGTTAACAGGTTTTAAAGTAGAAAGGATGCTGCATAATCTTGAAAATACATAACGGAGAAGGCAAATGTTAGGCAAGTTCATGAAATAGACATTTATGTTGTTCCCTAATCTCTCCCAAGCCTCAAGGGTACACATAACAGGAGACAAAGGAAATTAAGAATTAGTTCCATCAGCATGATATCACTATGTAACCCAAAGTAATTTTATGCATGTATGTCTTTTAATCACTTTCAAATAATATTCATACATTCACCTGAATATCTGCTGTGTATTTGTACCTTCACTGTTTCCTGATTATTCAAAAGTTCAGCTGTTTCACGGAAACTGTTTATATCTTTTTCTGTGTCGTCCGTAGAATTTGTTCTATTCATTTTGGTACCCAAGGATCTCTCTTTTCTATAATCTTTAGATGTATTTTCATCCTCCTCAATTAACATTGCATTTTCTGCAGGATCATCTGCCACAGGTTTTGACCAAGGCTCGTTTTCTACCTTATCATCGTTAATACATTGAAAATCTGCAGCTGATGGGCATTTTTCTTCTTCCATTCTCTCTTCAACGTTTGTGGTGCTATTATCTTCTCCTGTAATAACAGTTTCTTTTAACTCTTCATGAAGCAAATCCATTAGACAACGTAGAAATTCCTGGGCATCCTAAAATTTAAAACAGGTAAAATACATATCTGACTAATGTGATAGCTTTAAAAAACACTAATTAGAGTAAATATGTTAACATACTGTACTAGGTGTAACATACTGTTCTGCTTTTAGTTACTTCCATTTTATAATGTGATTTGTAAAAGTATAGGGTTAGATCCAGAGGAGTATGCAGGGAAGAGACAGAGTGGGATTTTTTTCAGTAGCTCCTCTTGCTCATAGAATCTCCCTGGAATGTCTATTTTGCGTATCATGAAAGATTGTGCTATTGCATGAAAGATTTAGACAGAATAATGTCTGAATTTTTCTCCTGCCTGATTTTTGCAAAAGGGCCCTTGACCATCAGAAGATGGGGCAAAAGAAAAGCAACATCACCAAAGTCTATTTCCTTTATACTAGATCTATTACTATAATTAAATCTAAATGTTATATTAATCAGCATTTTGAACATTGAAATGAATTTGTCATTTACGTTATTTTTAAAACAAAAAAATATGGTCCTAGCTCTCTTCCTAGAACTTTCTGAATAGAAAAAAAAAAAAGCTTTCTATTGCAAGGTGTTTATATTACACCACAGTGTAGATATAAAGCCTGAATTAATCAACTTAATTGAATAAAGGAGAAATATTAAAAAAAAAATCCAGCAGTTTGCCAGTACATTCAACATCCATTATTTCTGTTTCACTAGATTATAACTATACCCAGTATCTTTTTTTATGCATATGTTTTACCTGTGTTTTTATTTCTTTGAAGCTTGCAACTGTTTAGCAACAATCATTTTAGTGGCGGAAAAACAGGAAAAACTTACTTGTTGCGAATAGCCTCGAAATGTTGGATTAACTGCTTTAATTCCTTGAAACAAATTTGTGGGGACCACAGCTCCAGGCCTGGAACAAAAAACACTTAGTTTTGTTTACACTTTCTCAAACTGAATAGATTAGAGCAGGGGTCCCCAACCCCTGGTTCATGGACCAATACTGGGCCATGGCATTCCAGCAACTGGTCCACACAAACAAGCAAGGCCCCATCTGTGGGATGCAGGCAGCACACAAAACCACGCATCCTCTGGTCCCCGGAAAAACCTCTCTCCATGGTGCCCAAAAGGTTGGGGACCTCTGGATTAGAGTACTTCAGTGTATCAATGTTCAGTTTAGCAAATCAGGAATATTGAAGCTAGGAAATTGTTAATTTTACTGTGTTAATATATCACAATCATACATAGTCTAACAGGATTTACTTCTATGTAAATATATACAGAATCTACTCTACGGATGGATATGGTTCCACTGGTGAATAGTCAGAGCTGGATGTTGCTTTTAAATATTAATTTTTTGTTTAAAATGCTTTGCTATTTATTAAATCAAAGTATTGATTATTGTTAAACCTAAGAAAATGAATAGGCAGCTATAGTAATAATTGCAAACCGGAATTCTAGTTCATATATTTATTACTAACAAGCATTCCAATGGTGTGTTCCCTTCTATAGAACTGTGAAGTGGAAGGTTATCTTTCAATGTTGAATTTCTCTCCTCCCAACTCTGATATTCTCAAGTTATTTCAGATGACACTCCAATCCTGCAGGATCAGATGTTGGAGGTACATCATGGAATTTGAGGAATAGTGGACAAAATCCATTGTATGAAGAGAAATATGTAATGAAATGTTGGATTTCATTCTTAAGATTGTATGTATTCCATTATTTGGAAAGCATTCACATCTGAAAAATATTATAAACCAGACTGATTTATAAAAAAACACTATCAAAATGAAAGTAACACCATACCTGCTTTTATGCCAGAGTTCTGTTATAAGTTTGTAATAACTTCTGCAAATGGCTGGTTTTTTATCGGTCCGAGCTAAACTCCCACAGTCAAGGAAAAACTGTGTCAATGGGGGGCTGATAAGAAAAAAAAACACAAACTAGTATTTTGAAAGAATGCTACATATATCCATGGTTCTTCAAATTCAACTATCATATAAATTCTTTATCATTAAAAAAGCATTTAATGTTCAATGTAGTCAATAATATTGCTGAATCCTCATGCATCTTTTCAGCATGTTAAGAACAAATCTTCTTGTATGTCATAATCGGTGACAAAAAAGTTACTTTTGCGATTTCAACAGTCAATACTTAAGCAAAATATCTGTTAGATCAAATATATAAATTGTTACTGGAATATAATTCAGGATTGCATGATTAAAGAGATGGAGAATTTAAGCAGGGTAACTGATGTGTAACACATGGCAGGGGTCTCCAACTCCCGGTCCATAGACCAGCATTGGGCCACAGCATGCCAGAAACCAGGCCACGCAAACAAGCAAAGCCCCATCCGTGAGATGCAGGCAGGATGCGAAACCATGCCCCCTCCGGTCTGCGGAATAAAACTCTCTCCACAGAACCAGTCCCTGGTGGCCAAAAGGTTGGAGGCTGCTGACATATGGGAATATCAATAGAAGGTAAATATTAAGTTTACCCTGAATATTACAGAATATTGGAAGACATTTGTTTTTAGTATTATATTAATTCAGCACTGACCGCCAAAATGAATATCTCCTATTTTAAAGAAGTAATGCACAATCAGGTTGGATTGTTCTTCCACATTTGATGCAATTTTACAAAGCTGAACAATTTTAAAATATGATCCTTTCATTTTCTACCAATTGTTTTTCAGTTAAGCATCACCAAGCCTTATATTCTCACAAAATATATTCAATTGGTTTTATATGTAATAATCACTACTAGACACTTTCTAGCAGAAATTATATTCAGTCCCTTCAACAGACAACTGGTAGATTAAGCTTTAGGAATATGTATCAATGTCCAAAAAATCATAACTAAAAAGTTTGATAACAACTTAAATTTGGAAACAATTGATGGACTATAACTCTTCACATAGCTTTCTGCCTTATCTACAATTGGTTTTTTTTCCAATGTAAGGTTTTAAAACTCTAGATTTTAACGTTTACTGCTTCAGATAAATTCCAAAGTCTTGTTTATTACTTTGACTGTAAATCTTAACATTTCAACAACTTTTATCAATTTCTGCTCCGATTCTAGTATCAGATGTTCAAACGTTAAACTATTGTATGATTATATTTGTTCCAATTAAATATGGCTTGTAATTTTTTTAATGTTTTGCAAATTCTTTGTGCAATTTTACAGTTTGTGAATCTTAAATATTCCCTTTTCCCCAATTTCCTTTTTTTATTTTTTTCTGTCTTCACTTCTCCTGTATCTCTAAAAAATAAGTAACAATAAACCTTACAGAATTGACATCTGAAATATATATACTGGATTAATGAAATCAATACAGCTTATTACTGAATATTATCTGCTGAAGCAGAACTTTAGAATTATATCAAAGTAGATTTCAGGTTCTTTTATTTATCCATGAAACAGGAAGTCACTAAAAATCTATGTTCTTACAAATTTCCAAGGAGAAAAGTCTTTCCAAAAATTTTGTTTTCTGTTCATGGAAATCTTCAGAAGCTGGAAAATGTACAGCTAGAAACTTTTAATATAGATTAAAATGTATTTATTCATTTATTAAATGTATATGCTGCCAATCCCATCAATATTATCCTGGGGAGACTGAATGCAACCACATGTTTGCTGGATCCGTGCCCCTCCTGGCTGGTACTGGCGGCTCGGGAGGGTACACGAGCCTGGCTTCAGGGAATTATAAACGCTTCTTTGGGGGAGGGTGCCTTTCCCACGGCCCTTAAAGAGGCGGTGGTGAGGCCCCTCCTTAAGAAGCCTTCCCTGAACCCAGATGTATT